GCCCAAGTTCAGGGGGGGTGTCCCCTGTGGGTGCCGGGTCTCAGGGGGTCCCCGTGGAGCGGGCAGGTGGGTGCAGGGGCTGGGGGGGGTCTCTCAGGGCAGGAGGGCAGCGCAGACCCCCCCCCCCCAGGGGGTACCCCGACGAGGAGGGCCCCAAGCACTGGTCCCCCTCTCGCTACGAGCACGTGATGAAACTGCGTCAAGCGGCGCTGGAGTCCGCCCGCGCCAACTGGGCCGACTACCTGCTGGTAAGGGGGTCCCGGCACTCAGGGCGGGGTGGAGGGGGCCACAGCTCCACGGCGACGGTTTCGGGGGCTGACGCCACCGGTTGGGCATCTCTGTGTCATCGGGCAGTTCCTGGATGCCGACAACGTCCTGATCAACCCCGACACCCTGGGGCTGCTGATGGCGGAGAACAAGACGGTGGTGGCTCCCATGTTGGACTCGCGCGCTGCCTACTCCAACTTCTGGTGCGGGATGACGGCACAGGTGAGGGCTGGGTCCTCCGGGTGCTGGGTTCTCCAGGTCCTCTGGGTGCTGGGTCCTCTGGGTGCTGAGTCCCCTGGGTGCCAGGTCCTCTCGGTACTGAGTCCCCTGGGTGCTGGGTTCTCCAGGTCCTCTGGGTGCTGGGTCCTCTGGGTGCCAGGTTCTCCAGGTCCTCTGGGTGTCGGCTCCTCTGGGTGCTGGGTTCTCCAGGTCCTTTGGGTTCCAGGTTCCCTGGGCACTGTGTCCCTTGGGTGCCACGTTCTCTTGGCACTGGGTGCTCCACATCCCCTGGGTGGCACGTCCGTGGGGTGCCGCATCCTTCCATCCTGCCGCTCCCCGGGGCTGAGCCGAGCGCCCAGGCGATTCCTGCCTCCACCAGGGTTACTACAGGCGGACGCCAGCCTACCTGCCGATCCGAAAGCGGGAGCGCCGGGGCTGCTTCGCGGTGCCCATGGTGCACTCCACCTTCCTGGTGGACCTGCGGAAGGAAGCCTCGCGGGCGCTCGCCTTCTACCCACCCCACCCCGACTACACCTGGGCCTTCGACGACATCATTGTCTTTGCTTTCTCCTGCCGGCAGGCGGGTAAGGAGCCGGGGGGGCTGGCGTTGGCCTTGGCTTTGGGTTGGCGTTGGCCTTGGCTTTGGGCTGGCATTGGCTTTGGCTTTGCGCTGGCATTGGTCTTGGCTTTGGGCTGGCATTGGCTTTGGGTTGGTGTTGGCTTTGGGCTGACGCTGGCTTTGGGTGGGTGTTGGCTTTGGCTTTGGGTTGGCTTTGGGTTGGCTTTGGCTTTGGGCTGGCATTGGCTTTGAGTTGGCATTGGCCTTGGCTTTGGGCTGGCATTGACGTTGGCTTTGAGCTGGCATTGGCTTTGGGCTGGTGCTGGCTTTGGCTTTGGGCTGGCTTTAGGCTGGTGTTGGCTTTGGCTTAACTTTGTCTCCGTCCCGGCTTAATTTCAGAAGTCCAGATGTTCGTCTGTAACCGGGAGGTGTACGGGTTCCTGCCGGTGCCGCTGCGGTCGCACAGCACCTTGCGGGACGAGGCGGAGAGCTTCCTGCACGTCCAGCTGGAGATCATGGGTGAGCAGCGAGGGCCAGGCCTCACTCCCAGTGCCTCCGTGCCCGGATCCAGCGGTTTATCCCAACTTGGCTCCGGCCGTGGCGCACCCTGGCTCCTGGGAGGCTCCGGCAGGAGCTGGGCAAGCCGGGTTTCTCCCTCCTTTCCCCCCCGCAGTGAAGCACCCGCCGGCGGAGCCGTCCCCGCATGTCTGGGTCCCCCCCAAGGTCCCCGACAAGATGGGCTTCGATGAGGTGAGCGCCGCCCCCCCAGCTGAGGCTGCCTGCGCTGCCGGGCGGGATTTGGGGGATCCCCCCTGCTTCTCTTCTGTTTTTTGGGGGTCATCGTTCCCCTCCCTTCAGGATTTTGGGGGATTCCCCCCACCTTTCTGGATTTTGGGTGGTTTCCCCCCTCTCTTCTGGCTTTGGGTCCTGTGTCGTTCCCCCCATTGTCTGGATTTTGGGGTGGTTTTTTTTTTTCTCTTCTCTGAATTTGGGATATTTTCCTTCCTTTTCAGGTTTTCATGATTAACCTGCAGCGGCGGGCAGACCGCCGGGAGCGGATGCTGCGGACGCTCTACGAGCAGGAGATCGCCTGCAAGCTGGTGGAGGCGGTGGACGGCAAGTGAGTCCAAAAACGCCGGAGGGTCCGCGAAGGTGGGGAAGCGGTGCCAGGTCGACCCTGGAGCTGCTTTCCTGGCCGGGGCGGGGCGGTTGGGATTTTCCTTCGGGATCGAACTGGTTGGTTTGCAGAGCCATGAACAGCTCCGAGGTGGAAGCGCTGGGCATTCGGATGCTGCCGGGGTACAAGGACCCCTACCACGGGCGGCCGCTCACCAAGGGGGAGCTGGGCTGCTTCCTCAGCCACTACCGCGTCTGGCAGGAGGTGAGGGGCTGCCGGGGGGGGGCTGGAATGGATGCGGTCTGGGGTGGGGGGGCCTGATCCCAACGGGAAGGAAGGGGTTGAGATCCTAATCCTGATGGGAAGGCGGCAGATGAGGCCTTAGTCCTGGCAGGAGCAAAGGGGGACGAGTCCCTGACCCTGATGGTAAGGAGAGGGACAAATCCCTAATCGCGATGGTAACGAAGTGGATAAATCCATAATCCCGATGGGAATGAGTCCCTGATAGCAAGGAAAGGGAGAAATTCCTATTCCTGATGGTAACGAAAGGGATGAGTCCTTAATCCCAACAACAAGGAAAGGGAGAAATCCCTAATCCCACTGGGAAGGAAGGGGACGAGTCCCAAATTGCAATATCAAAGAAGGGCACGAGTCCCTGATCCCAACAGTAAGAAAGGGGACAAATCCGTAATCCTGATGGGAAGGGAGGGGACAAGTCCTGAATCCTGTGGGGAAGGATGGGGACAAGTCCCTAATTCCATCGGGAAGGAAGGGGCCGAGTCCCTAATCCTGATGGCAGTGGAGAAGACAGGTCCTTAGTCCTAATGGTAATGACGGGGATGAGTCCCTAATCCCAGTTTCAAGGAAGGGGATGAGTCCCTAATCCCAGTTTCAAGGAAGGGGATGAGTCCCTAATCCCAAAGTGAAGGACCGGGCCTAATCCTAAAGGGAAGGATGGGGACAAGTCCCTGATCCCAAGGGGACAACAGGCCTGGCCCGCTGTCACATGTCGGGAGAAGGTGTCGGAGGTGGCTGGTGCTGACGCCAGGCACTGCCTTGGCCCCAGAGCCACTCCTGTCCCCCTGGCCTCGTGGGAGAACCGGGAGGATTTCCCTGTTCCGTTAAATCCCAGATTGTGGCGAGGGGGCTGGAGAAGTCAGTGGTGTTCGAGGACGACCTGCGCTTCGAGATCTTCTTCAAGCGACGCCTGATGAACCTGATGCATGACCTGGAGGCGGCCGGGCTGACCTGGGACCTCATGTGAGCCTCGTCGCTAATTACCCCGGACCCAGAACTGACTCGTTGCCATTAACGAAGGCACCGTCTCTCCCGCAGTTACATCGGAAGGAAGCGGATGCAGGTGGAACGTCCGGAGAAATCGGTGCCACGGGTGAGGAACCTGGTGGAAGCGGATTATTCCTACTGGACTTTGGGTTACGTCCTTTCGCTGCAGGGCGCTCGCAAGCTGCTGGCGGCCGAGCCGCTGGGCAAGATGTTGCCCGTCGACGAGTTCCTGCCCGTCATGTTCGACAAACACCCGCTGTGAGTCCGGCGGGGAGCAGGGGGGGTGGGACGGAATTGGGTGCCCAGGTCCAGGGGAGAGCGTCCGTGTGCCGCCAGGGATGGAGGGGTTTCCCTGCAGAGCGCATTTCTTGTCCCTTTGGGGATGTTGGTCTTGTCCCCAGGGATCCATTTCCCCCTCGGAGAGGGCTCTTGTCCCTCGGGAGATGCTTTTCTTGTCCCTTCAGCTGTTTCCCCTTGGAGACTGTTTCATGTCCTGTGGGAGATGGTTTCATGTCCCTTCGGATCCATTTCCCCCTCAGACCCAGTTCCTCGTCCCTTGGGAACCACTTTTTGTGTCCCTCAGGATCCATTCCCCCTTGGGAGCCATTTTCCATGTCCTCTCGGGGCTGTTTCCCTGCGGTGACGGTCCTTTGGGAGCTGTCTTCCTCAGATCTGTTTCCCTCAGAGCATTTTCCTTGTCGCTTCAGCTCTGTTTCCCCTCAGAGACAGTTTTGTGTCCTGTGGGAGATGGTTTCATGTCCCTTCGGATCCATTTCCCCCTCGGAGCCGGTTCCTTGTCCCTTAGGAAACACTTTTCTTGTCCCCTTGGCTCCATTTCCCCTCGGAGACAGTTTCTTGTTCCTTTGGATCCATTTCCCTGGGAGCCAAGTCCTTGTCCCTTTGAAGAGGCTTCCTTTGGAGATACTTTTCTTGTCCCTCGGGATCCATTCCCCCTCGGAGGCCATTTCTTGTCCCTCGGGAGCCATTTTCCATGTCCTCTTGGGGCTGTCTCCCTGCGGTGACAGTTCCTTGTCTCTTTGGAACTGGTTTCTTGTCCCTTGGGAGCCGTTTTCCTCAGATCTGTTTCCCTCGGAGCGTTTTTCTTGTCCCTTCAGCTCCGTTTCCCCTTGGAGACAGCTTCGTGTCCTGTGGGATATGGTTTCACATCCCTTTGGATCCATTTCCCTCTCGGAGCCGGTTCCTTGTCCCTTAGGAAACACTTTTCTTGTCCCCTTGGCTCTGTTTCCCCTTGGAGACAGTTTCTTGTTCCTCGGGATCCATTTTCCCTTGGTCACAGTTCCTTGTCCCTTGGAAGCAGTTTCCCTCGGAGCGATTTTCTTGTCCCTTCAGTCCCCTCAAAGACAAGTTTTGTGTCCTGTGGGAGATGGTTTCACATCCCTTTGGATCCATTTCCCCCCTCGGATCCAGTTCCTCATCCCTTGGGAACCACTTTTCTTGTCTCTCAGGATCCAGTTTCTTGTCCCTTTGCCATCGCTTCCCTCAGCACCATTTTCTCATCGTCCCAAATCCCGCTGGCATCCCGGGACCTCCCCTCCCTGTTCCTCAGGACTGTTTCTCTTTCAAAAAAAATCCCTTTGCATTCTGCCGGGAAAAACCTTTTTCCTGTTTGTTTTTTTCCCCCCCACCCCTGACCTTTCCTCTCTCCTCCCCGCCAGCGTCGACTACACCAAACATTTTACCAAGCGGGATTTGGTGGCGTTTTCGGCGGAGCCGCTGCTGGTGTTTCCCACCCACTACACAGGGGAGGAGGGTTACGTCAGCGACACCGAGACCTCAGTGGTGTGGGACGACGAGGCCACCCTCACCGACTGGGACCGCGCCAAGTCCCAGAAGATGAAGGAGCAGCAGGAGCTGCGGCGGGAGGCCCAGAATTCCGACGTGCTCCAGTCCCCGCTCGACAGCGCAGCGCGGGATGAGCTATGACCTGGTGCGGGGGGTGGGGGGGGGGTGGGGGTATGGATATCGCTTTTAAATTCTATTTTTATTTTTATTTCTCGGTTTGGAGAGTGATGGAAGCGGCCGCCCCCCCCACCCCCCTGCCTTCCCACTACGGGGAGGAACCAGTTATTATCGCCTGTAGCCCCCCCACCCCCGGCTCAGTCACAGTGTTATCCTGTGTGCCCCCCCATAAAGGTCCTGGCAGGGGGGTTGTGGTCCCTTGAGGTCCTGGCAGCTCCCACTGGGCTGTGGGTGAGGGAAACTGAGGCAGGGACCATGCTCTCAGCCCCCCCCACCCCGCCGGGGACAAGATCAGCAGGGATTGTCCCCCTGAGGGAATGGTTCCCCCCCCCACCGGGGAAACAGGCACACAGCCAGGACACTGCGGCCATGTGAGGGGAGTCCTCGTGCGAGCTGGGGGGTTCCCCGTGCGAGGCGGGTGTCCCCTCGTGCGAGGCGGGGGAGGGGAGGTGTGCGTGTGGACGGCGGTACCCGGGGTCAGAGCTCGTCGTGGTCCTCGTGCGAGGGGGGCGTGCGACACGCCGCGGGCGTCACCAGCTCCATCAGGTACTCGCAGCGGCTGGGCTCCGTGGTGGCCGTCACCGCCGTCTCCGTCCCGCAGGACAGCTTCACCTGTGCTGGGGCTCAGTGGGGGGCCAGGGACACCCCCCCACCTTGGGGGCACGGGGAGACCCCCAGGGATGGGGGAACCCAGGGACTGGAACAGCCCCGGAGGCTGGGGACACCCCAGGGGACCCCAAGGGGACAAGGACCCCACCTCAGGGGACCTGGGGCACCCCAAAGGGACAGAGACACCCCCAGGGGATGAGGACACCCCCTCGGGGGCTGGGGGAACCTGGGGCACCCAGGGACAAGGACACGCCGGGAGGTTGGCGACACCTCAGGGGGACATGGGGCACCCCCACAGGGGGATGGGGACACCCAGGGGGACACCCCGGGGGACATGGGGACAGCCTCACCGTGGTGGCCCGGTTGGGGCCCTGCCAGCAGCCCGTCCCGTGCTCATACTTCATGGCGCTGAAGCGATCATGCTCGGGGCCGGCCCAGGCGCCCCATGTCCTGGGGGGGGGGGGGAAGACAGACACGGGGGGACACGTGAAGAGGGGGACAGGGGCCACCGCCAGGGTCCCTGGGGGTCCCTGAGGGTCCCCTTACCCCAGGTTGGTCTCAGCGCCGCCGTGTTTGGGTTTCTGGGAGACACGTTTGAAGGGGCAGAGGCGGTAGATGTACCTGGGGACAGGGGGGGCACGGTGATGGGGTGGGACATGGAGGGGACATGGGGGGGACCCCAACTCCCC